CCCTCCCTCCGCCCAGGCCGCACCGCTCCCCCTCCCCCCATTCCCCCGTCCTCTCCCCGTCTACCGCCAGTGGTCTGTCCTGGATTCGTCTATGGTGCTGATGCAGTGATTCCTTTTAGCTTTTATTAGTTCCTTTTAGCTTTTATTAGAATGTGAACGTAAAAAACAATGCGAACTACTTGTTACCTGCTTTCCTACCGGGGAATTTGCAACTCCAGCATGTGGCGATGGGGACTGTATGTGGGATTGCGTAAGATTGCTAGGAGATGGCGATGATTAGAACTATTTCGGCTTTACAGACTTCTCAAATTGTACTACAGGAGCTCTGTTTCAAAGCCGATCCTGACTAGGCCGCATCTATCATAGTACTTTTGTCCGGTAACTGACTTCAACACTGCAGAAAAAGCTTTGCAAATTGTTCATAAGGAGCAGTAACGTATCCTCATAGCTTCCGGTCGCTTGGAAATTCTGACTTCTACGATTTTGCTCGACAGTTTCGGAAGAACAGAAGTCCGTGAAATTTCAGCCTCCTAGCTTTCGTGATTTCCGAGTTACTAATTTTGGCATCAAAACGCCAGACATTTTGGTCAGCAATGCAAGAAGACCAAAATATGCATATGGGATGTGTGGTGCCGTCTGTGCTGGATGCCCTTCGTGGTTGTGGATCTACTGCGCCAGAGGCTGGTGCATTTATTGCTCAGACAAAAGCAGCGAGGAGGGGCAGGGGGTCTTGAAGTATTAATGGAACCGTCCAATATTTCATGTGCATGTTGTCCGATTTTTCAGGAAATATTGGGCCCAGATAACTTATTTGACGTTTCCGTGCCAAACAGGCGCTGATGTATGTGGATTGGCTCGTAAATATGGTACTGTCCGCGCATGCTTCTGTACACGATTATGGAGCTATTACGGCGAGAGGTTGGTGGTGTATTCATACAAAAGGAAAAAAGGTTCTTTTAAGTGTTAATAGGAATCGTTTAGTACTTCGTCCTTTATTGCAGGAGATATTGTGCCGGTGGCTTATCGGAGTTTCCGGGGCATACAGATGCCGTCTGTGCTTGAAGCCTTGCGCGGTTGTGGGTGGCGGCTGCTGCTGACAAAGGTTGGTGCATCTAATTTTTGTTGCTCATGCCAAAAGACACGGACTATCAACAGGGGCCGTTTAATATTTTGCACGCATTCATCCTTTGTTTCAGGAAACAGTGGAGGCCATCGTTTATCGGCGCTTTCCAGGCCAGCTAAATGCTGACCTGCGTGAACTTGCGATCGGAAGCCGCATGGTGATCGGAAGCCCTAGCGATTATGGAATTAAAAGGTTCACCTAGATCTAATATTCAAAATACATGAGATCTTACATCTCCAAAGTGCGTCTTTTTTTTTGTGCTGTACATTTGGTCGTAAGCTAGCACGAATTTTTATTTAGTCTAAAACAGGCATGGGCAACTTTTGCCGAAAGGTGGGCCTGACTTACATACTTGCTTAAGCTCACGAGCCCGTTTTTAATAAAGTCCAGATAGCAACGCACCAGTTTTGCTCGTGTAACAATGCGTTTTTGCGCAAAACTTGATGCGCTCGGGTCGTTACTAGTATGAATGGTTGTTGCTTTACAGTTTAACAACTGTGCAACTCATGTGCCTGGGGTTTGGTATTTTCTTGCATCTGGTTAAAAAGGGCTGCCCTGGTGCGCGCCACTGTTTATTTATTTTCATGAGAATGCAGTGGCGTGGCGGAGTACAAAGCCCTGCTTTGTCTAGTTAGGCATCACATTCCGATTGCTTCCGCAGGTCGGATTCGGCCCGCGGGCCAACAGTTGCTCACCTGTGATCCAAAGTAACAAATATTAGCAGTAGTAGGGACGAGAAGTGTGCTATCATTGTTCTGTCTTTGTAATATTCGCTTAGAAGTCCCAATTTCAGGGGCTTCTGATAATTTTCGCCCGAACGGATTCGAAGAGGATGGTGGCTGGCTGTCATAATTTGGTATCCACCAACCATCGCAGCGTGACCGCCCCCACATTTCCGTTCGGACATATTACGCAACGGCTGGTTTTATGTGAGGTCGCAGTTCACACGCACACACAGTGTGATAGAGTTCGAGAACGATTTTCTCAACAGTAAGTGAAAAAGTTCTGTAAACTGAGAAGTGGTAAATTTTGTTACGGTGGTACCAACAATTTCATAGCGATTGAAAACACTGATAGCAGCATTCCACTTCTTCATTGCCCATTTAATGGCCAGTTTTTTTCCTTTTTATCGTTCTCTGATCGGACTTCACGCACTTTTTTTTGACATTCTGTAACTTCTGGTTTTGCTTTGCAAAATTTGTCTTTCTTTTTTTGCTTCCGTATTTTACAAGAACAAGTGCACATTTGCTTAGACATTTTACAAAGTAAGGTAGGGAAGTTTTTTTCATAACACTCTTGAACAATATCTGTCCTCCCCTGCCACTCGCCTTTTTCGTTCAGATTGGAGCGCAGGAAAGTGTTATGTTTGTCGAACAGCCTATATGGCTGCATCCTTAATAACTCACACACATTTCCAAGAGTCAAGAATCCTCAACTGTGTTTTTACTCGATGTTTGGAGTTTGAAAGATTATTTTTTAAGCGAAGCATGCGCGCAAGGAGCGTAGAGAATCGCTCGGTTGCAAGGAGGCAGGAATTTTATGATTGGAGCTCCCGATCGATCGAAGTTCATTGGCTGTGAGGAACGGAAGAATAAAACCAACAAGATTTTAATGTAATTTGCTGTTTATTAGCTTGTTCTTGTTTACGGGTGTGTTATTTTAATGTAGTAGTATGTATTTATTTTTAACTTATGATATATTTGTTTTTATGTTAAAATAACATGTATTCGTTTTTGTGTTGACATAATATTCCTTTGTTTTTGGTTGATATAATATGTATTTTTCCGGGTTGATATAATGTATGTTCTTGTATTAATACGTTTTGTGTTTGTTCTTTTTTTGTGTAAATATATTTTATTTGTTTCCGTGTTAATATAATATGTATTTGTTTTTTTTTTGTTAATGTAATATATGTTTGTTTTGCGTTAATATGTTTGTTTTTTTTTTTTATATTATTAGATGTTGAATAAAAATTTATAAAATAGCGATGTGCGGCGCATCATCGAAAGGAACTAGAGTTTGCACAACACTGACTGAGCCTGCAACGATGCGCGAAGGGCCTTGAGGGATTCGTCTGGGAGTGACTGATAAGATCGGGATGCAGTCACCATAAAAGAGGGCAAGGACGATGACCAGCAGCCAGCACGGGGATCATCAACCACGATGAGGCTCGTCCTTCTTCAGCTCTGTTCCATCATTGCCTCAGCTGTTCATGCCAGTACTTGCAAATCAAGTTCGTTTTTCCGCGTGTTTCCGTTTGCTTGCGTGTGGTATTGTTGGTGGAAGGAGGAAACTGCCTCATTTCAACGTGTTAGTAATGAATTTTCGATCCTTTCTGAAGGAATCCAAAAAACCATTTTTATTTGCTGTTTTCATTTCCGCATCAAATCACAACAAATTTAGCCTTTGTTATTTTGAGGTATCAAGACAAGGAAAACAGGGAGACACAAGATCGTTCGATACTCTGAAATACCATAGACTAGACATTACAAGTGTCAGAAGTTTTAAAGATGCAAACAATGAATGTGTTTGGCTGGGGATTGGAAGACGGGGGCTTGAAATCGGTTACAAATTGCGCTGTATTGTAGCTTTTTTTTTGTCCTTGAATTTCCGGGAGTTGCATTTGACCTCTTTTCCCCTCACACAGCTTGCAAATATTGTGTAACTTCCATATTGTCATGAATTCAGTCTTTGTAATTGCTTGACAGAGTTTTAACTTTCACAAAATATGATTAGTACTAGAAATCATAAAAATTATTGTAATAAAAGAAATAAAATTAAAAAAGAAAAAAATGTAAGAAGTTTAGGCGAATACTGTCCGTCCGGATGGGTCGTGAAAAGAGCTGGCAAAGAATATGCAGCAGTAACCTGTGATCCAACTCACATACATCGCAAATGTCCGAAGCCATATTCTTGCGTTTATTCCCCGTGCGGCATGAGCTTCTGCTGCGTCAACCAAAGTCTGTCATTGTGCTTCATTCAATTCATCATCAGAATTGCCTCAAAGTTATTCGAAAATAGTAGGAATACTAAGACAGTCGATACGGGTATCCTTTGTTAGTGCCGTTGTTGTGATATTTCAACCTACTGGGAGCAGTTATTTCACATGTGGGCAACCGGCGGCCCGTGTAGGGAATCGGAATGAAGTGCCTAACTAGACGAACGGGAACTTCGTACTCAACCGCGCCTCTGCACTCGCATGAAAATAAATATAAATGGCCAACGCACGGGCTGCCCGTGCGTAGATGCGTTTTTTGCAGAGTTCCCCCCAGGTTTTTGTCGCTGCCGGCATCGGTTTTTTCGGCAGATGCTTCTAGCATTGCAGAGTTCCCCGCAGGTTTTTGTCGCTACCGGCATCGGTTTTTTCGGCAGACGCTTCTAGCTGGAACAATTTCAGACTGGCCGCCAAAAATGTCAGTAAATATCCCCTCAAAATTTTCGTCTTCTAGCTTCTCACGTTTTAGACTGACCACCATAACTGTCAGGAAAAATCCCCTCAAAATTCCAATCTTCTAGCTTCTCACCGCCAGAAATGTCAGTAAATATCCCCTGAAAATTCCAGTCTTCTAGCTTCTCAGCTTCTCGAGTAATCAACTAACCCGGAAGAACTTTCCACGGGCCTGTACGTTAGGTACCGCGCTTACCCGCGGGCAGGGTTTGAACTCGTTAATACCCACTTAGACAGGGAACACCACCCTAAGATTCCAGCTCTCTAGCATCTCAGAACCCCGAGTTATGAATTTACGCGGGAAAAACTTTGGGGGGCTCATACGCGGGTACCATGCTTACCCGGGGGCTGGATTTGAGCTCACCAGTACCTACTTGGGCGGGGAACATTCCCATAAAATTTCAGCTCTCTAGCTTTTCTGGTTCGCGAG